CAAATGGGAGAAAGGGCAACCCACCAAACGTATGCTAACACACCTTTCCCTGCCGTACGTCGTCAGCCACCTGGCCTTGGGCGGCCTGCCTGCTCTCCAATTTCCTCAGATCCTCCTCCAGTTTCTTCAATCTAGCCTCCTCTTCAACAGAAATTAAAACGAGGGTCCGGTTAGCGGCCTCAAGAGCGCAGTCGGCCGAACAGTGCAGCTGTGCAGTTGCCAAGGTGACCCAGCAATGCAGTCTCTCTTTGCAGGAGCCATTGTTAGACTTGAGCTTAGAAAGTGTGACTTTCAGATAAGCAAGTGCGGTCCTTTCTGAGCGCAGGGTGGTAAACTTTTCGGTCAGATGTGCGAGCACCTAAAAGGGCGTTAAAATTAGAAGTAATGATGTGATCGAGGCATAAATCTTCACTTTAAATTACAACTCTGCCGCGTCGGGAAGTAAGGCGCAAACACCCTTCGAAAGGAAGCTTTCGAGGCTCGCTCCGCAAGTTTATGTGGATAGTTAAGCTGAAATCTATCGAATACTACGGAATAACCGCGTAGATGCCTAAGATGTTGTCCCCGTTTTTGCTGCACACAGCGTTTTAACTTTCTTACGTTATTGATTAGACTCTCGGTCTATTTCTATGACCTTACTGTTTGCATCAATTATTCTGTTTGAATCCATCTTTTGTATTTTCGCTTACATTTTTCACGTTAAGCAACGAGAGGAAGCGACTGATGAGCCCTCTCGAAACTTATGGATCCAACAATCATCAAAATTCAAAACTGCACCAAGGTAAAAATGCTTTACACAACCTGCAAACCTCCGTTAGGATCGAATCGTTGATTCGTATAGACTAAATGTGCGAAAATAGAACATGAAATGGATCTAGTTCCATCTTTACTCAGTCAGGCCGGTATATGTTCACGTACCCTCTTTTTCATACACCTCATTATTAGGCAGTTAAGGAAGCAGGCTTTTTGAAGCGCTCGCCAATGACCCTGGAGATGAACCTTTCTAGGTATTCATTTTCACTAAGAGTGTTCTACAGCTGCTGGAGTTCCATTTTTACATATTTATGGCATTAGATTCCTCTTACTCTTGCTGCTAATCCCTAGACTAAATGTTGTTTGATATTTAGGAAAACAAAGCTATGAAGGCTAATATGGTGTCCAGTTTAGGTCTACTTTCGGAATACCCTACACTGGAGGGATCCATGTTTTTGTCCTCGTAGAGGGACATAAAGGAAAGCAAGCTCATTATGCAGCTTAGACTCTGCTAAAAATTTGTGCGATTAACGCACACTCTTAAACTTTGGAATCAGGGCGTCGGTATCAGTGCTATGGTCTGTCGGACAGAAGGTGTCATCTACGTATCGACCGTAAAATTCGGGGCAATTGATGGTGACCCTTGAACTCGTTCTCTCGAAGTTGCCCAGAAAAGCATTTGCAAAAAAGGTCCAAGTGGTGAAGTCATCAATACACCGTCTATTTCTCTGTAAAGCTGACCATTAAGGGTGTTCATGGGCATACCTATCTAGTATTCCGCATCTCAAACAAAGTCACAGAAGTAGCTTATAGTTCTTACCACGAATATGTTGGTAAACAGTAATGATACACCCAACGAGAGCACTATATATCCAGAGACGTACACATTATTCACAACTTCGACAAATTAAAAGGTGCCTTTCAAACTTTGGGACTATGGGTAACTGTTGAAAAAAAGATTATTTCCGGAGACCTTTGAGAATTTTCGTCATCTGACCCTCAACGGCCTCGCTTCGAACATTGCAGGATCCGTAAGATTGCTTCTAGATTCGCGAAAAAATGCAGGCGCTGTATCTTCTGTGACCGACGTTGACGCTTGTTGTTGATCGCATGTCGCCACTGGTGACAGGTTTTCACTCCATGCATGTTACAGTGATTTTCACTCCGCTTAATCGACCCAGGAGCACTACTTACATCACGGAACATGTCGATCTTGCCATGCGGGCGATGTTAGAATGATGAGTTTTAACTATAAGGCATTTATTGACTGTACTTGTAATT